CTAATTTCCTTTGGAATTATTAAATTAAGTTTTAGTAAGAATTTTCAGACAGGGCTTGCTGGATTCGCTTTTTGAGTTCGCTATTTGAGATAAACAGAGCTAACGTCAACTGAGTGGCCCATGTGTCCACTCACTCCCGAAAATCCTTTAGCAAAAAAACTGTTTTCCATGCACAGAAAACCCAAAGTCAGGTGGGAATAAAATAATTCGACAGACACCATTACATGGTAAATTATGACGCTCCGCTTTGTGATGGACTTCTGATCTACAATCTTTAGAGGCTGACGCAGAAGGGCGCCAGAGGTCTAGTCTACAAATTATACCCATGAAATCAGAGGATGTCAGAGTAATTAGTTCTGCCTTGTGTGCATTCAGCAGGCAACCTCACCTCAATCTTAGGCCTGAATATTCCAAATCAGGACGGAAAAAACTGTCAAGTTTTTTTACCAACAACAGTGCTAAGTGTCAAGTCCCTGGTCTTCCAGGGCTGGGTGTGCGTCATGGCTAACTGACCCCTAGTAAATATACAGAAAACAACTAGCCCTTAATCCTTTGTGCTTGCTGCCAAAGTCTCGCGATATAAAACATTGCTGAGGTTGCCTCCCAAGACAAGTAATAGCTGTAATCCTTGAAAAATCGGTAGTTGTATCATTTCATGCAGCCCAAAATTCCACTCAAGCTGCAAACGGTGCATATTTGAAAATTCACAGGGTCTGACTGAACCCCTTAAAATATTTACTATAGGCCCAAAAGCGCACTAAAAAGGAAAATACTAGAACTGAACCCCGGTTGTCTATACCTCTTTTAAATTTATTACACCAACATAAAACATGGCCAAAGAAGAAGTTGCATATTGGGCAGGTCCACGATACAAGGATAACTGCCGAAAATTTCGCCACGATACGTATTTTAAAGTGGTGAGGACTTAGATGTGTGGGACTCTGACACACGTTCACGTCTGCCAAAATAGTTACAGGACTTTAATAGTCACCTGGACTTAACCATTTGCCGACCGGATCGCGGGCTGAAGCATTCTCCTTCCGATGTGTCTTGATACTCCAGTCCAAAACTTTGTCAACTAAGCAAGCTGGGGGTGGTTATTTCAGTCTCTCGCACACGCGCGGGTACGATTACCATAAAATATTAATAGTCACACCTTTTGAGATAACGAGTACAAAATTTTTAAAAGGAGCAAGAATCGTTTTAATAGGGCCCCCTACCGGTTGACCAAGAATCTAGGTACCAATTGAAGCGGCAAAAATAACCAACTTAAAATGGACGCTAATGTGAAAACAGAGAATTGAAAAGTACGGTTTTCAGAAGGGTCACCAGTAACAGGAAAATATTATAGTTCAATAGCACATATTCCTGGTCTCATAAACACAGCGGTGTCCGCACTTTTTCAAAATACCAACAAAAGATCTGAACAAACTCACCGCCACGAACGCTTTATGGCCAACGGATACCTAAGAAGACCTGCCAAGCAAGGCCAGGACACGGTGAACAGGCGCGGCGTAAGGGCGGCCAAAAGAATCCCTTCTTTTCAACCATTGAAATGAAGACGTCATCACTCTCCACTGATTTCAATAGATATTAATTACTCTCGAGGCTGAAAACAGGGATTTCCCATTTGATAATATAGACAATAATATGCAAGTTATGTACGCAAACAGTCTGCTCTAGTACAGCCAAATGGAAACATTCTTTATTTACAAAGCGTACAAATTCAGTAAGAAGTACAAGTTTATTTACGTCACGTTCTGTCAATTATAATATACCCTTAGTAGGGTTAACCAAAGTCCATTTCGTCAAAATCCCAAACTATCCATTTTGCTTCCTGGTCACCAAAATTTTTCGAATCTTAAATCCCCATCCACCATGCTGTCTCATAAAACTTTAAAATAACGGATATTGCATGAATAATGGATAGGCATGAACATTTTTTCTGATTGTATATAAAAAATGGTTCAGTGTCATGATACCACGTTGGTTTCAACGTCCGACCACTGACATGAGGGTGATTAACACGTCCTACTCATTCTAATACTTTTTTTGTCACCTTATATAACGTCGGATCTTAGTACGGGAAGTTCATAAAGGAGTATTTAACTCTGCCACTTTTCTTCTGTGGACAGCGATATCCAGTGCTCATAAATCCTTTTTGCCAAGCAGCTGGCAAGCTGAATTTTCTTTTTAGTCATTCATTGTTTGGTTCGTTGGGCATTTCATCTGAAATTATTAGCTGATTTTCAAAGTATTTTTAACGCAATTTCTCTGTTATAAATAACTTTCGAAATATGGAGCCTTTTGTATACCAAATGTTTGTATTTGACATCCGAAATCCCTTGCTCTTTTGGGAAACCAACTTGCAGTCGAAAATCTCATCACAATTTGACGCATAACTTAAGATATATTCATATCTACTGTGCAAGGTTATGGAACTAGTGTATCCCGTAACGTTGCCTAGACTTCGCATTTACTCTAAACATCTTGTCCTTTTGAACATATATCCACATTCTTGAGTTCTTATTAATCCCTCCATCACAACTTGTTCCCCTCACGCCATGCTAGCGCGGCAGGACATACCGTTGACGAACCACTATCATACTTCATGGGGGTCACCTAAGTGGAGCTTTGACTGAAGTAACCTTCAGGAGTAGGCATGGCCCATGGATTGCAGACCGCTGTTCGACATCATATAATGCAGTCAGTTGAGAAAATGCGGCTGTTTGAAGTCTCGGTAGTTGTCTACGAAAACCATTGCAATTAAAGAAACTGCAATTACGTCCGAGACATTGGGCGAACTTGACTGAGCCTTGCGGGCACCCTGTCCACACAAAACTACACTCAGACTCGCAACCCGAAGTGCACACAGGAAAACGTGGTCAATACTTTCTAGAACCGTTTATTCTAAGCTGTGACAGCCGGATAACAGGACGATTCACACTAGAGGCATGTCGTTCAAATGCTAGCTCAACCAACAGGTCTATCGACTGCCAGGTTTGACGTCACCTCTGACTCCTTACGAGATATCAGGTTCCACCTCCCTGTCCGCACACAAACACATAGCATAACCACAGTGGACTCAGTATGACGTTCTAGAGAGAGTAAAACAAAGAATCTGCCCAACAGAAATCAGAAGGAACATTCGCTCGGACAGTCATAGTAGAGACTCGATTGCTCTACACCGGGGGCTTTGGGTGACCTAGCTGACAAGTCGTCACCAGCTTTTTTGATCGCATTAGTCAGCAACCAAGACTCAGTCCTGCAAAGGAGTAATGGTTATATAGCCCCACTTCATATAACTCTACAAGCCAGTTTAACCTCTGTTTGCTTTTGTTGACGGCAGAATCGTTTACTATACTAGACGGTCTCCAAAATGTCTGTACTTCAATAGCTATTCTCCAGTGAGTTCTTCATCATGCTTAAAATATCGCCCTGATACTTATAACTTAGCATGGATCGCATC